GATCTTGATATTGTTTATAAATTATAGTGCATTCTTCACCAGACGTATTTTCATCAATACTACGAATCTTATCTATGAATGTTAAATCCCAGGTAGCCGAAACATGAGCAGTAATATTTATAAAACCCATACAAATATGATTTATCTGAGAACGATTTTTCCAAAACGAAATAATTGAATGTAGTTGTGATTTCACAACAGGATCGAGTAATTCTTCTAACAGTTCAATATCATACTTGGCTTGTTGAATATCGGGAAAGAAACTAATAATAAGTTGAATCGGAAATTTGTTAATGGAAGTGCAAATGTTCTGTAATGTGGCATGATATTGTTCAAAGATTTGAACACTTAGACCAAGAATGTCTACACATGTATTGTTGTTCGGTTCACTTGTCTTGCTTACAGGCTCTTCGTCAGTTGGTTCCAGTGATGTTCCTGTAAAGATAATATGGCATATAAAATCTACAAACTATGCACGTGGTATTAATGGCCTACTTGATGTCAAAGAACTACTAGTAATCCATATGTCACTACTCGTACCTAACAATTGTGTAGGAGATGATGTCACAGCTATTGAAAATAAAATAAAACTTAATTGAATAGTCTCTCCTTGAAAAAAATCTTACCAGATGTATCTGCTTGAATCGTTGTTCTTTGTTGAAGAAAAGCTCGCCAACTGAACACATTTGCATATGGATTGAGTTTTTCAGCAAATGAAACAATATCCATTAGATCAGCTGGGATTTGGATCGATTGAACGATTTCTTTTTCCAAACGATCATCGAATTCTTTAACTAGTGCATTGTACTTATCCTTATCAAATGCTGTTTGACAGTAGACGTCAAGACAAGACATTACTTTTTTGCTGATTTCCAATTTATTAGTCATATCTTGATACAAAGAATCGAAGTGGTCATGGAATAGATAGTTTTTGTTTGCTTTCTGAACTATTAAAGCCCATATGATACGAACAACATTTCTTTGTGATTCTGTAAAGTTTTTCCATGTTCGCAATTCTGAAGCGAATGCACCATTTTTCCATTTGTTTAATTGTACGTTCAATCGTTGAACTAATTGTTCATGAATCGGAAGTGATTCGAGGTATTGATCGAATAGAATAGCATATGTGAAGTTATCATAAGATGGCTGATAGAATGTATCATTCATGATATCATTGTCGTTGATTGCTACCACCTGTGCAGCAAGAGAAATCAATTCTTTGATCAGTAAACTTTGTCCATTTTGTTGTCTATTGATTTGTCTCAAATGAAACAATGGATTTTGATAACTGTTCATGTCCTTCAAATGACAGATGTTGGGTTTTAACATTTCGGTGAGAAATTTATTTTTGAAAGCATCAATAAATTTTTTATTTCGAATAGATGATAGAGCATATTTCAGTAGATTGTAACTACCTCCTAGAATGAATAAAAAACGAATAGACTAGTACATTTAAATCAATCACATATATATTCGTATTCGTTTTGCATAAAATTATTTTTCATCTATTCAACACATACACTTTAGATTTCTCTTTTCCCAAATATACAAGTAACGCTCGTCGTTACGACTCGCTTAGTCCTCGACTGAATCCCGTCCATTCATTATCTATCATTACCTTCTAGATTTCGTTGTGAAAACTATTGTTATATACACATACATGTATGAAAAAACCGTATACTATTGTAGGAGACGACCACTTTCTAAAAAGATTTCGCTTTTCAATTTTCTCCTAGGATTTTCCAAATTTAACCGTAAGAGGCAGCTCACAGTTAGTCGCCGTGGTCAATACGAGCCACCACTCGCGACTGCTCGCTTTCGTATATGACACCGGCATGGTTTTAAACAGTCCTTCACTTTCTTCTTAATCCTTTCGCTCTGTGATTTTTTGACAAATTGTTAATGTTCCTAACCATTGCACACAGTAACATACATTTCATTTTCATTTTTCTGCAAGACCTTCTTCTGTCTGAAGCTACAACGTCAGCCCTTTGTCTGTCATTATCGCTGTTCTTGGTTCGTAACTCCTTATCCCAGTCCATTTATCGAGGATCAACACTCATATTACCGCACTGAGTTTTTCGCAGTTTTCAGACACTTTCAACCGGTGAGAATCGATCAATGAGCAATTTTATATAAATTCCACAGGCCCAAGGTGTACCTGCGGCGAACCCGCCAGATCACGGGTTAGTCGTTCGTCGGCGCCCCTTTAGGGCGCCACTCATGGCTAGCCGGTTTCATGTTTAAACCAACATTCCCAGTAAATCACCCTCTTTTCTTCGTATTCTAGTCGGGTCACGTTTGGCTTACTGTAAAACATTGTTGTATTTATAACCAAAAAATTTTAGGTCAGAAGTTCCAAAAATCATAGTTTCTTGTAATCTTTTCCTTACAGTTTTAATTGCCAGAGCTTTTGAAAAATCGATGTTCTACAAGGCATAGCTACCTGTGAACAAAGGAGAAAGGAAACTTCTAGACCGCTATAAGTACCGACTTCTCCCAGTCTTGCAACAATTGATTGCAGCAGAGCCGTACAATAAAAAAATCTGGCTAACTCAGTTTCCAGCTGAAAAAAACTGGTTGAACAAAGCGAAATCGCGAAAACATTTCACTCACACAAACCTCAGCTTCGTAAAAATCTCATTGGGCAAGAGCGAGAGAGTGAGAAGATTTCATTGCTGAAGCTCTTGCGCAAAAATCTTATTGGACAAGACTCGGTCAGCGAAAACATGACTCACTGGACTTCCTGCCTGTGAAAATCTGATTGGTTGAAAGCTCAATGTCAAAAAACGACTGATTGGCTGGATTTTTGGCATGAAAAAATCCTATTGGCTAAAAGCCCAATATCGAAAACCCCTGATTGGCTGGATCTTTGGCATGAA